AAGAAAGTAAATTCGCCGTGCAAAAAGAGGAGTCCTTGAGATAAGGCATTGTTTCAGGGGATCGCGTGTGCTGTGCAGCCGCCGTGCGCCATTATTGCCGGCGGTTTATCACCGGCGTGACGTCACGCGAATGCCGCGCGAAAAACAATAGTCCGCGGCGTGTTCTATTGTTTTACGTACGACGCATCGCACCGACGATTGACACAGACAACTAATTATTTGGTTGTTTTTTTTTTATTCACGATGGCCAGTGCCCGTTTGTCATCGTAAGCAGAGATACAGTGTTATTAAAAAAAGGAGGAAAATTCCCTACCCCTGCGGGAATCCTGCCCGAGTCTTCCGGATTCCCGCTCAGATGCTTAAACCACTAAGCTAAACGGCTGATTGCCACACCGTTACATCCTTTACGGCATACAAACAATTTCAAATATCGTTTTACAAGGATAATTCCAACGAGAAATGTCGCCATTGCTATATGAAACAGTCGTTAGTCTAAGAGACCGGCAGTTTTTCTAAAGCTTATGTAGACATGAAGCCCACATGAAGACATTGTAATCGTTCGGAAAGACTAATATATAAGAATATTACAGTTCCAATCACGTTATGATACTAAACGAATGGTACGGTGGCTGGGAAATCTGATCTATGACGTCGTAGTTCGTATATCTGTACATTAGCAATGCAATCGAGTTTTTGATTACAAAAATAATCGCCGCATATTTGTGTTTTGTACTTCGCGTATAGGTCTCGAAATGTCGTGAGCGGGAAGTTGGGAGTTCTAACGATCTCTGCCAACAGTCGAAGACGTGGATGTTTGTGAAGTTATGCTAATAATAAAAAACGTAACTGGGATTAATAACAATACATCTTTAGATCGTTATTGGTCTAAAATCACAAATAATGTACAAGTAATTTAAAATACAATTATTTTCAGGTTCAGTTTTGTTACACGCATTGTGCACAACACTGATATTCTACCCCAGCCTGACATTAACTAGCAGAACACGATTAATTAATAAGGATTAGTGTTAAGAAGATTCCGTAAAAAAAACTCCTAATATTTGAGATAAATATGAGATAAAGTGTAGTAGGGCCACGTAGTGGCTTGGGTGTTGCACGAATGGGCAGGCTCGTCCGGGTAAGTACCACGACCTTTCAGAAGACCGTCGTGAAGTGAAAGTATAATACATACTTTCGCGTTCCGTCTGGTGAGTGAGGTAGCCGGAGCCCAATTTTCAAAAGGTTGTCAACGCATCTGTAACCCTCGGGTGTAGCAGATGTCCATGGGCGGCGGTATTCACTTAACATCCGGTGAACCGCATGCTCGCTTGGCGACATGTCATCAACTTGGATAATTCTGTCTTTTCCTGCTGAGGATCGATCCAAACCAGAAATAAGGAAAAGGAAGAGTCCAGAGATAAGGTTTCGTCCTCACTTTTCGAGGCACGGAACCACAATAATAGCCCTAATAAACGAGCCACCTCAGTACATTCGAGAAGATCGATAGAATCTTCTTTAAACAGTTTTATGTTACATAGTCAGAAAAACCTTTCTGGATCATAGACATCTTTGATGACTCCGTGGCGCAGTTGCCAACGTATTGGCTTCGGCGTCAGGGGTCGTGGGTTCGATTCCCACACGGGACAACTAAGTGTGACACACAGATAGTTGTTTCGCATCTGGGTATATGTCCACGTGAAATTTATGTTTGTAAAACGTCTTTACAACACAGGATAATGTTAGCCTAAAGTAAGGGCAATGTTTATAAAAAAAATCTTAATTTTATACACATGTCGAAAAACAAAACTCAACACACGAAATAAATCTTCTAAGATGATGATGATAATATATATACCGACCGTATTATACCACAGCTACTTGGAATCTTATTATAGAGAGCGTCGCATATATGCTGCTGGTTACGTTATATAACCAATTTTTGCTACAAATTTACGTCCACATTCGCCACAAGTCAGCACCTATCTTTATATATGTATATAACTCTTATGTACGTGTGTATGTAAATGTTTTCGGATTTAAGTCGTGTTTACAGGACAACGTCTGTCGGGCCCGCTAGTATTATTATAATTAAAGGCCGCAATACGGGCTTGAAATCTGAAATCCTTTAATAGCTATGCCTGCCACTAAGTCTTATACCAAACCGCAGCCGACCTTGTCGCTTGTCTAATTTTCAACATTCGACGCTAATGGAATATACAAAAGGGGTCGTTCTCTTATATAGACTATAAGATACTGGTGACTGTCTGCGTTGCTTATTTTAACAGTACATTTTAAGTGCAGGAATAATCGGAGTTGAGGCAGAGGTAGAGTATTAAAACGTAGTATTAAAATCATTGCCCTTACTTTAGAATAACATTATCCTGTGTAGTAAGGACGTTTTACAAACATAAATTTCACGTGGACAGACACCTTTTATAATATATATAATTAAATAAATAAATAAATATTTTAGGACACATTCTTTTTACACAACGTTCTCTAGTCCCAAACTAAGCAACGCTTGTACTATGGGTACTAGAAAACTGATAGAAATACTTAAACATACTTTTCTTTTGTAAATAAATACACATTATACATATATATAAAGACCCAGACACTAGAAAAGCACTATGCTCATCACACAATATTTTTCCAGTAGTGGGGATCGAACCCACACCCTCTGGCGCAGAAGGCAGGTACACTACCTACTACGCCATTCAGTTCGTCAATTAAATGTCGTCGAATTAAATGATAACTGTGGTAGGGCCACGCAAGTCTTAGCTGTTGCGCGAATGGGCAGGTCCGTCCAGGGAAGTACCACGACCTCACAGGAGACAAGAAGTGTTACACTTCTGCGTTTCGTCTGGTGAGAGATAACCGGTGCCCTCTTTGTTGAAAGGTGGCAACGCTTTTGTAACCCAACGGGCGTTGCAAACGTCAATGGGCGGCGGTAATCACTTAACATCTGGTGGTCTCGCTAGCCATCTCTTCTTAGTTAATTTTTTTTTTTTATAAATGAAGGCGAAGTGTCCAAGAAATGAAACTTATGAGGAATTCATCGGAATCTATCCAGTAGTGATGGCGCGCGCACCAACTGCTATCATTTCATTTATATAGGTGTAGGAGTAACACTTTCATTCATCCACTTGCAGAGAGTACATTCCTAGCATTGCGACGGTATTTATTGCGACGGATAAACAAACACGCCGTTTGTACACGATTGGTCATTGTACGAGTGATGGTCGATGATACACAAATAAGATTAATATTATACGACTTCAGCTGAGATCGGCGCTCGCTCGCTGAAACGCGTGCATGTCGCATATTGAGAATTGCGATAGATTTTCCTTCGAAATACTGTTTGCGGCCATTCCTTTCTTAGGGTGCTGTACCCAAAGGGTAAAACGGGACCCTTTTACTAATAATCCGCTGTCTGTGTGTATGTCCATCTGTCACCAGGCTGTATCTCATGAACCGTGATAGTTAGACAGTTCAAATATCCAACAGTAGCAATTTTCAAGAGTAGCATTGGTACGGGGCCCGCATCAAAAAGAGCCCCGCATACTTAAACCTATTCATCTCTGCCTTAGACATATTTTTTTTGAGTGAAACTTATGTGACATAAGAGTATTGATTTTTTTTTGCTTTACTGATAGAAATAATTTGCTACGGGCCCCGCGCTCCCTTAATCCGGCACTGGTTGCCTGTTGAGATTAAAGTGGATGTTTTGGCTTTAACCCTAACTAGTCAGTGCTATTGTTATTAGCTACGTATTACACGCTTTTAAATCTTTTTGAAGGAACTCAATTGTAAAATAACTTGAATATGGAAACTTCTTACATATATTGTTAATTATTAGTCCAAATCCAATCGAGAAATCCAACGAGAACGGGTTATCTAATGTTTAAAATAATTAACAAGACCCCAATAGCAAAGACGTTAGTAACAGTAACATTGCATTATCTATCACGCATTCCTTGGAGTGCACTGAGAGCAATCTGTTAATTTCCAATAACTTCCATTTGATAGGTTTTTCTGTCATGTTAAGTTTTTTAATATAAGATTACGTTAGATGCGGCATTTATGTTAACATTGTCGGACAAGATGCAGAACAAGTTCCACCAAGGCTTTATAGTTGACGTCTATTTTAAAATAAAAACGAAAACCATTTTCGTTAAATCATTGGAATTAGATAATGATTATGCATAACAAAAATATTTTAACAATCGTTTCAAGGAGTAAATCGGGACCCGTTTACTAATTCCGCGCTAAATATAAACTATTAATACTTTAGTTTAAGATTTGCCTTGTTCTATACATCAGATGCGTATATAAATATATAAAATAACATTTCATTATACCTATACCTTTTAATAAAGCACATCATACGTGTGATTTTCTCAGATATCTTCTAGTTTTTTTTTTATTTATTAAAATTTGTATCAAAATGTCGAAATGTGTTGGCTTGAGAGGAAAAACAGTTTTGAGATAAGATGTAAGTAATTGAAATTATTTTTAATGTGTCTGAAAATCAATATAACATTAAAACTTTTATATTTACGGCATTTTATTATTTGTTTAATGAAAACTACCTTCAAACTCTTTTTATTGTTGACATTGCCAATTTTAGATTAGTAACGACAACTTTCATATAGATAAAATTAGGAAAAAATATAATACACCTTACAGACATAAATGAAAATATTAAAAATACAATAACATTTGTCAAAGAAAGACCAAAAACACTTATGGCTCGTGAAGAAACCCACGAGATGCATTTTAAATAAGCTATGTATAGGTAACTATGCACTAAAATGAAAAAGTTAAAAAACAAAAGCATCAAAGAAAACCTGTTTGCAAAAATATCGCGATTTCGCGCGGCCGGCGTAGCAAGTTTTTTTTTTTATTTTGCACTTAACACACTTTGATACATAGCAATGTTAATAAAATGCAGTTGATACAAAAACCGCATGAATAATAAAATTACAAATGCCACTCACCTGTAGAAATTTCGTGACACAAATTTACTAATCTGTAATTACACTCACAGCAGTTTGAATATAACTTCGGCTAGCGCACTCGTGACCTAGCGGGCATTAGCACCACAGAACACATATACTCCTAAGGAGAAGAATGACGACTTCATACAAAAAATGTGAGGACAGTTTTGCTGCGCGCCATCTAGTGGCACCCCATAACAACAAAATGATTAGGGCGGGAGATTTAAAATGTATTCAAGAAATTACTGCCTAATCAAAACTTAAATTTTCCTTTCTTTTTGTACAATATGAAAATCATAATTATTTCAAATTAGCATAACCAATCAAAGTTAGTAATGTATGCTCATTTGAAGTAACTCATTTTCTATTGTACAACCAGAAAGAAAAATTTACTTTGTTCATTTCCTTCTCTGGGATACTTAATCTTAGCTAAATAGAAACACCATTATTTTTATTTTATAATTCTTATTTATGTTTTAAAATGTCAATTTTTCTTTTTAATGTAGCTTTCGAAGCTTCCTCCGAGAAATGCCGATTTTTTAATATGCAGTACCTCTTCACACAAATATATGAAATATTTTCTACAAAATATATATGGTTTCGTTCCCAATGATCTGGACAAGCCTTTAAAAAGTCATGATCAACTGAATCTTTAATTTTAGTTATAATTTTATTAAGCACATGCTTTTCATGTTCTATATCTTTAAGCATTCTATTTGCCACCGAAGCACAGGATTCCACATAATTTATGATACTTATAGAAGGATACTTTAAGCTCTGCTTTTCAGAATTGTTTTCTTTGAATTGTATAAATAAATGTTCGAATAAACATTTATCTTTAGAAATTAGTATATTGTCACAACTTGTGCACACAAAATCAATTCTTTTGATTAAAAATCCACAAACATATGCACATGCCTGAGCTTCACCACTCAATGATTGAGCATCACACAAATTTTCAAGTTCCTCAAATAAATTTGAGGAATATGAATAATTTTGTAATGTTGAAGATATTGTATTTGTGCATATGTTTGTGGAGTTGGTCAGTACCTCTTTATAATTATTAATTATCGCGTCATAGGAATCCCTTTCGCAATTTCCTGTGCTTAGGTGAGCTAGATTGCTCAAGATGGAAGTTTTTAAGGCTGCAATAAACTGTCCAGTAGTGGGATTGTAGTTTGCACCACAATTACCCCGAATGCAGCCAAACAGGTTTTCTAGTGGGTCTTGCTGTAGTCTGCGAGTGGCAAGACTTTTAATGTTTGAATGTTTACTATGGAGTTTATTCCATAAAAGTTCAACTGCATTCAGGGTCCACACCCATCCTTCTTTTGAAGGTGGTGTGCGTGTGCAGCCTACAAATTTTAAAGTATTAAAAAATAATTTCATATCTTTAAATAATTGCAGATGTGGTGTGGTGGGTTTTAAATTTGTTGCATGTATTTTTCCACGGCGCAAATCTGGAGAGTCGCTGTTGACAGAATCAAACAGTTTATCCATGTTTGAAATGACACCTGCAGTTGCAACTGCTTCTGGATTCAATGTTCCTGAAAATGGAAATAAAAACGTATTTATACTCTCTGTATAGCTTAAAGAATAATAATAAAACAGGCCAATTGCAAATAAAACGGGCCCGTCCAAATGGCAGTATTAGACCCGCACGCCGCCCCTATCCCTTCTGTGCTACATATTTGACCACTGTATCAAGTTCGTTTTAATAGGAAAAGTAAGGGAGTTTCCAAAAAAATGTGATTTATCAATACCAATATTATTCATTTTTAAACTTCATGAACAAAACACAGTACATAGGCAGTCAACCTTAGGGTGGTACTGAGAAGTTGAGGTAGGTGCCACAAACATAAATTATAAAAGAAAAAATAAATACGTAATTATTAAACACAAATATATAATACATAACACAATTATGTATAATTTTACATATATTTATATACTTTAATATATATATATATACAGACATATATAAATAAAAATATATATTATATACATATACATACACCTTTGTATGTGATGATGTCACTATTACAATATTTGTTAATAAAAGATACATAATAATAAAAATTACCATCATATTTCAAGTATTCCTAGGTCAATGGGAAGTTAAAAAATTTCCTGAGAATTTTCGGTAATTGGGAGGGACGGACGGATGGATCGACACGTGAGTAACCCCAATAGGGGTCCATTTGGACCCTTTGGATACGGAACCCTAAAAATACAGGATCCTATTTATAAAGATACAAATAATATTATTAAAACATCGATACCTTCGGAAATTTTTGCCATCATCCCAGCGGCAACTGTATGGCTCAAGGTTTGTGCTGCCAATTTAACTTTCATTTTTTGCTTGCTGTTAGGATTAAGGTGATCTAGCTTTAAGCCAGGGGCAAACACAAAATTGGGGTTCTGGTTGTCTAGTTCATAAAAACTTTTTATGTGGCTCCATTTTGCAACACCTAAAATAAACAAGTTCATGTAATACATCAATCACAAATTAATTATGTTGGTATTTATCACTATTATTTACTAAATGAAAGATGAATATTATAAGAAGCGTCTTATAATATTCTTTGTTCTTACCTATTCCACTTTTGTTATCTGATGTTATTTGTGTAGTGCACTGGATATCATATTTCAGAAATAAATTTCTAAAACACTTTAAAAGGTGAGGCGGGTCATACATACTAATAATCTCTATATTATCAATAGTAATGGAGGGTTTCTCAACAGAGGCACCTAAGATGGATAAAGCTCGTCGATTTACCCCATCCATATCGCAAACTGTTGCCGCTATGCTAAGACCCGCCATACGACATTCACGTATTATCTGAAAAAATATATAATTGACAGTTATTACAATAACACATGACTAAACAAGATGTCCCGTAAATAATGGACCAATAAAAAATGTAAGAAACCAATAAAAATGTAAAAATAAAAAAAATATATGTTAGCGTTTTTTTTTAAAACTCAAACTTGTTGTTGGAAATCAGGTCAAATACCTATCCTTTATATTTGGTCCATTTTTTCAAGGGCATCCTGTATAGCTTAATTTCTGGAAACTGTCATGGGTTAAGTATTGTTTAAATTCAGTACCAAATTTATTAAACATCTAAATATGTTTGATTTTTATTTACATTATCTGTATGCTCAGTACTTGAGAAAGATAAAAGTAGAATAGCATACTATTCATTGCTGTTAATTTTAGTATTTTGCATTGCTATGATAACATTACCTCTTTTATCAAGACTGCTAGTCTATCTGCTGTTACATAGTCGCTTGATATGTAATAAGCCACAGGCTGTTTAATCTTTTTTCTAATGCCAGCTAACATAAATACTAGAGCATGTGTTGCTATTTGTGGCGATCTGCCTTGAATTCCATGGTCTTGAAATCCTTCTATTGTATCCGTCTTTCGGTTATAGTTTAAATTTTTTTTAATACACATTTCATCAAACATGATAACGTATTCATTGTCGGACGCAGCTTGAAGTTCTGCTGTTCTTTTTAATACAGAGAATATACATTTATTGACTCCCACTTCGAGAGAGAATTTACTCAAGAGAAATTTCAAAGTAGATTGAGCTGGTAGACAGAACAATCTTCTCATTAGTCTGTAACATGTTGGTGATCTTTTATATAACCTCAGAGCTGTTATTTTTTCTTCAGTAGTCCATCTCCTCCCTTTGCTTTTTTTTTTCAAAGTTTTTAATCTGTGCTTGCAGCAACAAAGCAAATGCAGGAGTTAATTTTTTCATCAAAATATCAATTGACTCGTTCTTATTTAATTCTTTTAAAATAGCCTTATTTTTCATTTTTTTAATTCTATTACGCAATTGGCAAATATGTTTGAAATGTTTTCTGCATTTTGCCAACAGATATTTTTCTTTTTTAGTTTTAGATTGCCTTGCATTTGCTGGGGTCTGAGATGGAGGGATCATTTCACTCAGCACTTTATATTCTTCAAATGAAGTATGCAATACTTGGGAAGTCCCAGGTAAAGGTTCAAGTCTTGATTTTTTAAAAGATGGTACTGGTTTTGGTAAAGAATGGAAGTTGGTTACATCATTCAAAACTTGCACGCCATATGATGGACCCGGTTGAGGTTCAGTCTGAAATTTAAATAAAAAAAGTTGTAGTAGTAGTGTTAATATTGCATATCCCTCTGGAAAATTTTCTTTTTTATTAATAAAATAAATAGTAACCCATATTTTAGTCCTGGTTATGGTAGGTATATCTATGTTATAAATTTCATCATAATACACTTAGCTATTTTATTGTATGTAATATGTATGTGATATGTATATTTTTAATAGAATACCCCATAAATATAAAGCTCTGAACCAACAGACATAATGTCCGTTGTTTTCCATGATGCACTAATTTTGTCATGAAACTACTACAAACTTTTGTGACATTTCGAAACATTTTATTGTATATACGCTAAACCATCATCTCCATACTCTTTCCTGAACTATGTTGGGGTTGGTTTCGAGATAACTGGATGCAGCTGAATACCATACTGCTGCAGAGTTACTGCCTGCCTGATTTCCACTAATCAGTTACTAGGTAATAACCCTTTGTAAGTCTTGGTATGTAAAACTGGTCACCCATCCATGCACCAACCGCTGCAAGCATAACTTAACCTGATTGAACGACTTGTAATGCTGTGATTACTTAGTCATAGGCCCTTTTTTATATCCAAAATAAGTAACAATAAATACCTCCTTGATGTCATCTGGAACTGCAAATCGGTGAAGTTTCTTTGAAGTTTCAGGATAATCACTAAATGATGTCCTTGGAAAATGTCTATTGCAGAGCATTTTATGTTGTGTATGAAGTTTATGCTGGAAATCTGGTGACCAGTATTATTTATCAGGAAAGCAGTACTTTGCCCATAATTCACAGCTAAAACATAATTATAACTATATCAAAATAACAAACTAAAAACAATTAGTAATAAAGTAATATTCAATCTAGATAATAAAATACTTTTTTTTTAATGTGAAATGTTGCCAAACGAGCAGACGGTTCACCTGACGCCCATGGACATCAGCTACACCCGAGGGTTGCAGATGCGTTGACAACCTTTTGAAAAATGGGCTCCGGCCACCTCACTTACCAGACAAAACGCGAAAGCATTATACTGTCACTTTACTTTACTACTCTAATAATTATGTGAAATGTAATAATTATAAAAATTTGTGTTAAAAGATAGGCTATTCTTATATATTATATTTATACATTTGATCTTTAATCACCTGGCCAATACTTTAGTTTAAACTAGAATAGTTTCGTGAATTCGTCTGTATTCCATAATTGAGCCCAGTTATGCCTAAATGTACCAACTGAAAAAAAATGGTTTCGGGAACATTAAGTTTAAGTTTGAGTTGTAATTAATCATAATTTAACTACCTAATTAAACTTTTTGTTGGTGTCAGTTTGTGACTTTGGCTTAAGAATCTGGATACATGTTTTAGTTGGATCTGTATAACTTTACATTTTTTAAATAATTTAAAATAAATACTCCTGGTGCATTTTGGCAAAATTGATTTTATGAAGTAGTTGGACATCAATTAGATATGCCAAAATGTACCATTTAGTTTAATTTTCATTAAAAATTCTAAAAAAAACATTCATTTACTTCTAGCATGTTATATATTACTGGGGTGATAAAATATAAACAATAATATAACTAAAGGTTATAAAAAAAGATATTTTAATTCATTCACACTCATGTTATTACATCAGAAAGACACCCTTTTTTATAGAGGTTATTATCTCTACTCCTGGAACTTGATTTCATAAAGAGGCCTATTAATGTCATCAGCAATAATGCTACTACTTTTAATTTTATTGTAAAAATCGCGAAAATCAGCTGATATTAAATGCATCATAGACTACATAGCGGTGATAGCTGTGTCCGGGCGCTCGCCTTTAATTCAATACACTCGAGCAATCTGAGTTCGATCCCCGGTGCCGGCACCAATGAAGTTTTTAACTTTAAGTCTGTCTTATCACGTGCTCCGCGGTGAAGGAAAAAATCGTGAGGAAACCTGCATAATATTTCGAAGATATGTGAAGTCCGCCAATCCTCAGTGGGGCCGCGTGGTGGACTATGCCCTGATATCCTCTATATAGAGGAGGCCTTTGCCCAGCAGTGGGACATGTATAGGCTGTTACTTTTACTTTTTAGACTATATCATTTACTAAAGCCTGGGCAATTACTTCGCCTTGTGGCCATAGTTGTTTTAAACTATTAATATTGAAATTCAACCAAACTTGATTTTTGACATTTTTTTGTGAATAATTGAATACTTCTCATTCTTCAGTATTTAGTCCTTATTAATAAAAGTTTCTCTATGAACTAATTGCTTTTCTAACATGTTATAACTTACAAAATCTCCTGCTTTCGTTCTAATAACTTTTAAGCGATTAACTTTTTTGCATTTTTTCATAATGTGAATGTAATCTTCTACTGTATAAACTCTTTAATGTTGTTTTAGATGGTTTCCAATTTTATGAAAATCTAAGTCGTTAGGCAAGAATGAATATCATTGAAATGAATCCTTAATTAGGATGTGATTGTTTTGTTACAGTTTTTCCAAATGAGACTCTCCACAAAATAAGTTCTATGGTGTCATCAGATAACTCTTTTTTTATGTAATTTAACAAACATGAACACTCTTCCTTTGCTTCCCTTGCTACCTTACATTCAACCGAAATAAAACAGTGCCCCTTATCATTAGACACTTAATTATAAACCTGCAACTGTCACTTATAAAAACTACATTTGTAGGGATTCATGGTAGTAGAGTTCATAGCGAGCATGTAAGCATCATACTTATTGCATGTGCCCCTTGATGTTTTAAATCTAAAATTAAATTTTTGTAGGAAATTCATTTCTCTAAAATTAATTTGAACAATTAATTTAAATTATATTAAATGTTATAATGGTTTGGATTGTATTTACTTAATTATGATGATAGCTCTAATTATGGTAGATTTTTTAAAATTAATTTTAGGCGATCAAAACACTTGGTTCATTTTTACTGAATTGTCACTTAGAAGTAAAATTGCTTAAATGAGCCTATAATACTTTGAGACATTTTTTGTGAATATATTTTATTTAGGTAATTCAATGAACCAACATCATCTGATTCTTATATAAATTGTTATGATTGCACCAAACAATGTTGGATCATAATGGCAGAATTATTTTTTAAATGTTCTTAATGTGTGGCTTGGTTCATACAAGCATTTTATGATTATTTCATTCAAGTAGTAATACATAATTTAAATTCTGATAATTTTGGTGTCAATAACTCTTTTTTTCACAATTTGTGGGTTTGTACATTTTGGCATAATTGGATCGAATTATAAACTTCAATTCAATAACAAACATATCTTAAATTGGAAAATTGGGTGTGGAATAAGCAGGATGTGGAAGCCTTCATAATGTAATTCAGTAGCTTCGTTGTTGTAACACAAACAACTTGACATTGGTAAGTAACACTTGTACGAAGCCCTGGCACATTTAATTCAAAACTCAATTCATCAAAAATTATATAAACACATACCGTAATGTGTTCGTTTTTCCAGGTTTTGGAAAGCGAAACAATGTAGTCAGTGAGTCTTCAGCTGGTGAACAACCACACTTATAACATCGCCGTTGACTTTCCGCGCTTATTACCGACGACATAGTTACGTTTTAAGAGTCACTTTCTCACAGATCACAGAGTCACTTTCTCAAAATAGGTACCGAAATAGAGTCACTTTCTCAAAAAACACAATCAGGAGTCAATATCTCAAAACACATAAACTGAGTCAATATCTCAAAACACATAAACTGAGTCAATATCTCAAAACACATAAACTGAGTCAATATCTCAAAACACAAATTCAGAGTCTCTATCTCAAAATATTTGGATTGCAGTCAGTCGAAACATATAAGGCGAAACAAAAAAAAAAAACTCTATTTATTTGCACCACAAGAAGACGCTACGGCAAACAACAAACAACCTCCATCTTGCTTGTGTGTGGTCTTAAATGTGCATGTCAACGTTATTTTTTAGTCTTGTAATACTAATCCCCGAATTATTATTTCTACTCTGGCCACACTTCAAATAGCCCTGGTTTGTCTTTGTTTCGACGTATAGAGTCGACACCCCCTGATTAGCACTTGCAGTGCAGCCAACCAATTTATCGAAACCCGGCAAATTGAGTGTTGCTGCTTAACCTTAACTATACCATGATTCCAAATCAATTAAAATTGGCTTGCTTAAAAAAATAAGATAGCAAATTTGTATTCAAATAACAGATAATGCATAGATAAAACATCTGAAAAATTTAATTATTTTTATTTAAGTCAGCGAATGATGTAAAAAAAAATATTTAAAGTTTTAGTTATTGGTTATTAGATAGATTTTTATTATTTTTCCATATATTTGTGTAATTAACATATAAAACATTTATAAACTTACTAAAATTGATTTGTATTGATATATAATTAATCTTTATTTAATCATAGATGTATATGGTAACTCAAAGAATTTATAGCGCTACTGCGCTAAACTGTTTAGGTGTTTACGTTTGTTTTGAATTAAGGCGGTTTTAACCGCCATTCAGCCGTCATTTTATTTGGATAAAGTTTGAAGACCGTCTGATAGAATTATATTTCAGTTTTACTAAAGTTACAAAACAGTTCGATAAGCTTCTTTGCTCGATAATTATTCTACTAAAGTACATCGATACACTTATTAAGATTTTGGGTAAGTTCAGTTGATTAATAATTCTGATTTTCATGTACTTATCTTAAAATACACTATGCTCTATTTATCTTAAATTATGATTTTGTATTATATGGTCACAATTTTCTTTTAATCTTATTTCTTCTTCTTCTTTTGTGCTATCCTTTAACTGGACCATAGTTTTGAGTATACCATTGCTAAATTTATTAGAGATGATTATTACTGCTTATATCTCTGTAATTGTATTGTTTTATTTGAATTTATTCAGTTAGTACTAAAAGCCATGGCTTCTGTTGAAGAAAAACTTTCCAAGTTAAGAGAAGAACGAATTGCTAGAGAAAAGGCTAGAATTGAAAAGGTAACAATTTAATTACTATTAAGAATAAAAACAAGATTTGTTGCTCATATTGAACAGTCTTATAATATATGTTAAGTAAGTGTTTTAAAGATGTTTGTTTTATTTTAGTTAAGGGAAATAAACCTTCAAAAGTATAACAAAAATGATTCAAATGCTATGAACCGTAATTTTGCTAAAGTTCCTGTCGCTAATAAATCTGCCAGTTCAAATTCTCATACTACAGTTACAAGGAACAATGTCTCAAATACCGTTAAAAATAATTTTCATGTTAATGGTACGACTAAAAGACCTATTTCTGCACCTGAACCTTTAAAGAAATCTACAACAAGCAAAGATCATAATTTGCCTAAAACATCAATTGCTTCATCCAACTTAAAACAAACAGACTGTAATTATAAAACAGATTTTAAAGTCAATGTCACCACCAAAATCCAAACTGAAAGAAAACAGATAAAACTAGAAAAAACAGTAGCTAATGGAAGCAAAAGCATAGTTCAAAAGGCTGTCAATGCTGATCAAAATGTTAATACCAAAATGCGAACTGGCAAAATACCTGAGCAAGGAAATCGTAAAAGTTTTGTACCAGTTACATCAAAGATAGGCATTCCATCAAAGTCCTTCACAACACATACTAAACCAAATGATACCAGAAAAAGTATTCAACCTCAAAAGGTGACACAAAGTGCATCAAAAGTAAATCCAAAAAGAATTTCAGTGTTTGAGCGGTTATACAAACCAAAAATGGTGCCTAAAGTAACTGTTGATGATGCACAGCAACTGCGGGCAGATCCTACCTATTTAAGGAAAGTAATTGAGAATTCACATCTCATAATAGGCAAAAGGCACACCATCTCCCAAACCTCTGCAGCCCCTGTGCGTAGGTCCATATCTGCAGTGCATTTAAAGCGTGCAAGCAAAAGTGAACTTAAAAATTGCATACACACTTGGGCCTCAATTGGAGAGAAGTTGGACAAGATTAACATTAATGAAGTAGATGAAGATGACTACATTCAATGCGAGAAAATTGTATCTGCTGTCAAAAGTGAGAGGAAAAAGGTGAAATTCCAAACACCAGTTTCGATAAAATACAACACACCCAGGCCTGAAGAATTGCAGGCCAGACTGCAGAACTGGCTACAAAAAAGAGGCAAATCCATTCATTCCTATCATCATTTGCAGTGCTTTGGTATTTTCCATCTGTCCAAGGATATTAAGTCTTTAGTAGAGGCACCTAAATTTGAACTGTATGATGAAGAAAATAAGGAGAATATTGCCTTGGAGTCTGATAGTGATGATCAGTCATATACAGACAATGTAAATGACCGAAAGGATGACTTTGCTGGTGAAAATAAGGTTGAAATTAGCAATGATAAATGGCGCAGGGCTAGTTATATTAGTGACAGCTTGAGTCTTAATGAAAGCAAAAATACGACATTAACATCTGCTGATGATTTACATCATGTGGATGAGTTGCTACTAGGCGCTTTAAATGATTTGACAGAGCTGCTGCGAGAGGTAATTTTATTAAACTTGTAAAAATGACATTTAGCTTAATGTACCAAATGAATTATTATTCACTCAATATTAAATAACATATGGAGAGTTCAAGGCATTATTAATGTTCTAGGGCTTTGATTGGGAGCAGTGCGCCCGTTGGTTGCGAGCGATTCGCGAACGTTTCCCATCTGCGCCTGACAGTGCAGCATATTGGGAGTGCAGAGCTGCGCTGGAGGAGCACCGCGGAGATTTGCCTGCTTCCATGCAGTGTTGGGAGGAGGCTATCGCTATGGGAACTGAGGTACAATGACATATTTTTAAATATAACAAACTTAGTTATGGATTTTTTCTCGTTTATTTTAATTGTATTTCCCAAATATTTGAACATTTTTGGCTCCATGGTCATGGGACAGACATAAAAAGAGAAAAGCCACCCTGTATATCTATGGAAACTTCTACTTTTATGGCCATCTATCTCTCTTAGTTTTCTTATGGATATTTGTTCTTAATTTTTTTGTTATTGCTTCTTAATTTTTAATTTCAGGTAATACAACAATGCAAGTCAGATTTTACCATGTTAGACATAATGAATACATTATTAAGAATAAAGCTAGTTTTCAAAGAAAGTTTTTCTTTTGTAAGATTCTTTTAAAATTAAGTAATAAATTTTATTCCGCAGCGCTCAGTAGTTGAAGCAAATTTAGACCAACTTTTGGACAAGTTTATGCAACTTAAGATTAGCCCGAACAGTGGTCGCCAGAAGAAAGTGGATCCAAAGATGGTTGATGTTAAAAATGTCTTGAAGAGTACAATTATACGCTTTGCAGTGCAGAAAGCTAAGCTGTAAGTAAAGTCTATTTGTAAATTTACTTCTAAACTTTAATATTTACTATTAATGCTATAAATAAAATTAAATTCCCATTATGTGTGTTGATAAAGTGGGATGAAGGGTTTTTAGTTTTTATAGAAACTGTATTTTTTTAACATTCACAAATAAGATGTTTCAAAATTTTAAAGAACTTCCATTACCATAAATATGCAACATGAGCATTCTTTTCTTTTCTTCCTATCTAAGTTTCTTTTATCAATTTTCCAATACAGTCATAAGCCTAGTACTCCCGAGTGTCAGGATGATGAACATAATCTAACTAAATATCCAAATCACCTAGGTTTGGGCAAGTACGCAATCTGTATTCTATATCATACATGATAACTTAGTTGTTGTAAAAAAGTGTATTTTGTGCAGTATGTAAATTAAAAAAAAAATGTGTAGTTTTGCGAAATATTTATAATTTTATAATAGAAATTTGTTATAATTAGTTAGTCAGTAGTAGTCATCTCATTCTTTCGAAACAGAACTTACTTAACGTTGTGTTTCAGACATCAAATACATAATTGCATTGTGATACTAATGTATCAATAATAAATTTTTGCAGTCGTCAGTCCAATCAGAACGATACTCCGAAGTACACAGTGACTCCAGTACGCCGCAGCGCGAGGCTGAGTATGCATGGCAGTGCAAAGCGCACACCATTGCAAGTTTGCACTACCGTTAGCCAGGCCACGAGTCTTGGTCACCCAATTGTTTTTGTACCAAATGAGCAGCTGTTTGGAACACCATAGTCCAATCCAAAACATAATTCAAATGAAACAAAGTAAATTCTAAATTACGTAGTGCTATTTAAAATAATATGTTTAAAGTAATTTCTGTTAGTCTGTACTGTATAGATATAAACAGCATTTTGGTTTATAAAATTCAAATGCATGCAAATAGCATTTTATAATAAAAGCACACCATAGATTGATTTATAACTTCAACCATATTCAAAAGAACTTTTATCCTTATTTATTACACTTCTAACAAAACCATACAAAACTTATATAATATACAAATAAATTTTAATTTTTTTTTTCTTCTATTCTTTTACTTGATTGGTAAAATTATGGCCTATAATAAGATTGCCAATTCAAGTGTGCAATTGGTATGAAGAAGTGATTGTTTTACTGTATTAAGTTTATGCACTTTGACAATTTTCGCTTGATGCGAATTATTTTGTACATATATTTTCTTATGTTTAAATAGAGTCTGATTTGTAGCATAACATTTATTTTAATTAAGGCTTAAAAATTTCCTTCTTTTTTTATGCTTATTTAAAATTATGTGTAAATCCTAAAGATACTTTCTATTGTATTTTTCGATAGTTAATTATAGTGTATAAAGACGCAGTTGGTAATTTTTCTTTCTTAATTCTTTGCTAAGTTTGCTTGCCTGTGTGATAAGAACTTTTTTTGCGACTTGCAAATATTAAGAGTCATCTAAAACATTTTTGGAGTCTAGAAATAAATATCATTTACTTAGTCAAAAAGTAAGTTATCAATTAGTTTATGGATTTTTAGACTCTTATTGTGTATTAGATGCCAACAATACTGCGTGTTTTCAGATTATCGTTTTCATTTTCTTTAGAATTATATGGTACTCAAGTACTGTTTTTCAAAAATTTTCTTTTACCGCGTCATAAAATGCTGCCATATATACACATTTATATATTCTACCATATAATTACTTAATGAAGTATTCCAACAACTATTAACTTTATATATCACTGAATGCTTATAAACAAACATCTATTCTATAAAGACATTATAATTATGTATAGATGTAATAATATAGAAAATAAATATTATTAAAATGTATTATTTCATTTACCCTGATATATTTATTTCATCAGGTAAGATTTTATTTTGAGTGAAAACTTCATTTACATAAAATTATTAATAGGAAAGCCTACTGAGAGGACAAATGTGTAATAAATATTTAACTGCCGAGTTGCCATCTTTTTTTAAATGATGTGACATTAAATTGGTTGATAAAATACATTTATAGTTGAATTTTTCTCTAGTTTCAATATGAAAATATTGAGGTGTTTGATTTGTTTATACTACTTGTGTAGCATAGCTTACAGCTACCTGACATCCTCCTAAAGACAGAGCCGATTAGAGCTTGTGCAGAAAGGTCGAATTTGCGGTAATTGTCTCGCGCGTGCGTTCAGACGGAGCGTACCTATGTGCGAGCATTTAGGGAAGAATTTAGTCAGTACTTAGTAAAAAACAGAATTAAACGAAGCGGTCGTCGGCGAAGTTTACGATCGTTATGAATTCGCGCGAAACACTTCCCCCCTTCTTTATAAAGTATTGTCGTCGTCTACGAGTACGGCGAAACGAACAATGCGTACCAAAAGTACATCCGCGTTCCAGGACGGTTCTCATCGCCCTCAGCTACCGAATAATACAGTCAACGGCAATTGGGGTCCCGGTTCATATTAAATCTTGATGGCCAGTAGCTGAATAAACTCGTTTAAGATAACGCACAGACAAGCATGTGTTCGTGTGTGCGTTATCCCCTATACAACAAAATAGGCTGTAGCTTCTTACGAGCTACTTACATGCTACGGCTTTACTCGTGGGTTCTGGCTAGTCAAGATCTCCTTGACTTAAGTATACGGGCTGAAAGCGAAAACCTCAGTAAATTGAAATAAAAAATCAGAAAAAAAACGAAGACTTCTATTTTTACCATGTAATAAACAATTTGTGAATAAATTATAAAGAAGGATTCAATACGATGTTCTGCTAAAATAATTTTATCTCTTGGTTGACTCTAAGTCTACTGAAATGGCAATCTTTTATGGATGTGGCATCCCTAAAATCAGATCATTCAGTTGTCAGTGTCATTACCATCTTGCGTATCATTCTCCGTTCACACTTCATTGTTCATTCTCATTTGTAAATAGTGTCAAGTAAATTGTCATTAATTTGAATTATTTAAATGTGCGGGACAATTTGTTTTTAGTTGAATACATTGCCAGATTATTATAATAATAATCATTTAAACTAAATTTTGCTGTAGTAAGTTCTGTGTTGTGTCTAATAATAAAGTGATTTTCTCCATCAGCTGATTTGCACGCCTGCAAAAAAAAGCAGCTGTCGGTAAGTTCAACTTTGTATTCAAATATTCACGGAACGGATTTTTTTTACTATTTACCGTTACGAAGGTCGATGACCTTCAGAGATAAAGGTTTTTCTTGTTCAGAAGTTAAAATGTGCTTCACTTATTTCTATTTACGGAATTGTGGCCGAACTTGAATAAAAATAGAAGCATTAGTGAAACTTTACGAGAATTCAACACAAAAGGGATTTGAAATGAACGAAAAAAAAATAGGTAAATTTTTTTTAATACTCTTCAACTTTTAATACATTCAACTTTTATACAATCCTAAACCACTTAGTTGTGAGCGATAAAACAAGAGTGAATTGGCCATTTCCGTATTAAAAAATTGCTTTCAGGCCTTTTTGTATCATTTCCCTCATTTCTACCTGTACAAAGGATATTTTATCTAAAAGCTTTTCATCATCTGTTCTTCGCGTGTTTCACTCGATACTTCCTGCCCCCTTACACGCGTACACACTTCCCGGTCCCTCTTGCCTAATCAATTTGAATGTGAAATGTAGGGATACTAGAAATACTCCTACATTTGTTTGCCAAGTTTAAACCTATTCAGAATTAATACAATTATTTATTTTAATTACTGTCAATGGGACAGAGTAACACTATAGATTTCTTGCATTAAAGCGAAATACAAAAAATATGTACCGAAATAAGAAACATCTTTTGATATAAATGAGAAACTGGAATTTTTTTCAATTCATTCCAATTGAGCTTAGGGTGGTCTTTGTCGACGAAAGAAACGCAAACTGTCACGATATTCCGGGATAAAGAGCGACAGTGGTCTTGTCTTAATAACACTTCACCGAACTCGTTCAATTCCAAAACGCTATGGACTCGAGTTGAAAATCGTAAAAACACGATAATTCGTAGTAGTTTCTTTTTTTATGAGAAGCGAGCAAGGGAGCAGGCGGTTCTCCTAATGTTAAACGCCCAGTGACATTTGCAACACCCGTAGCAGATGCCACGTTTTAATAAAATGGGCCCCGGCTTCCTCACCAGACATAACGCAGAAGTATAAACATTTCCACTTCACATCGGTCTTATTGTCGTGTTACTTACCCGGACGGATCTGCATATTCGTGTACCATCGAATAATATTGCAGCTACGAACTGCTTTCTACGATTTCTTGCGTTTACGCAACAGTATAGTTTGATGACCACGGATTCTCAATGTCAACCGGTGTCACCGCGTAAAACGGTAAAATGATCACGAAAAAGAAGGCTATCTCACTATCGAAGCCTCTGATCCTGAGTAACGTATTCACGCTTGCCAGTTCCTACGTGCGGCGAACAACTTCTGTCTAGATGCGGTTAAAACGTAGGAGGTGTCTTCAAGCCAAGAGCATCGATCATCATCATCGGTCATCACCAAAACTGCACTGATCACGCATGAAGACGCTTCTTGTGACGTGTCAGTGATTGAAAAACACATCATAGCATTCCAGTGTATCTATATCTATCAAACTCTCTATCATGCCAGTGTATCTAACGTTTTCGAAAAATATTACATGTTGAACAATGTTTCGCTACTGTCTGCTAAGAAAAGTATGTTTGAACATTTCTATTAAGTTACCTAAAGCACAAGCTTGCCTCTGAAGCTAAATAAAGTTGTATAAGAAGTATTAAAGTATTGGCATTTAATTATTAACCTTAGGGTTAAAAAGTTTAGCGTAAAATCTTGAGTTGATATCCATCTTAACAGGCTATTAGTAAACAAATTCTTTTTGTTTCTTTTTATAAAAAACGGACCATTTTTTGACCGCTGTACCACATTTCATGTTTTATAAACGTACTCATCGTGTACCTTATAAACAACGCCATTATAATTGTTACATACTTACACATGAAATGCATACATTTTAATTAAAACTCCAAGTGTTTTGTAAAGTTTCATTAAAGCCAAAATGTAAAAGGTCTATCAAAATATGGATTTCGTTTCATAACCTTTCTCCTCACACTGGGTAGTGAGCGATGTATTACTTATTTTTTTTTTATGTGAAAAGTTGCCAAACGAGGGACGGTTCACCTGATGTTGCCCACCTGCCCATGGACATCTGGTACACCAGAGGGTTGCAGATGCGTTGACAACCTTTTGAAAATTGAGCTCCGGCTACGTCACTAACCAGACGAAACGTATCTTGGTTTAAAATAATTTCAGTTTGCAAAAATTTAGAATTTTTGCAAACAGCAAACTCAAACATCTTTAGTACGACGAATAATGGATTTATATTTACACAAAAAATTAAACGAAACAAATAAGGTAACGCATAACGTACTACAAAAAATAAAAGAAAAACGTAGAAAAATATCTTAAGACTTTGTGGAAATACAGGAAAATCAAACATTTAAAGTAAGATGATTAATTAATAAGGAATAACATTTTAGATTTATACAAACAATTGTGACAAAAGGATTAAGATAACATAAAATAAATAAAGTAAAAACAAAAACACAGGATTGATGCTGAGATATGTAAAAGACTTTGTTTTGTTCCAAACTCACATATGCAAAATTGGGCGTTTTTGAATTGTATAAGGCAGGGCGTTTTTAATTTTAAGCTGTGGGACAATTATAGGCTTTATTGGCAAGTAATAAATAATTACTTATAGGCAGGGTATGTACGTTGAAGTGTAACCTCAAAATTTCTACTCTACCCTATGCCAACCTTGTTTTTTTAATTTGAGAAGGTGGCAAGCCAGCTGGCCTGTTCACCTGATGTTAAGTGATAACCTCCGCCCATGGACATTTGCAACACCCGTAGGGTTGCAGATGCGTTGCCATCTTATAATAAAGTGAGCCCCGGCTACCTCACTCACCAGACGAAAAACAGAAGTATAACTTCCACTTCACGCTGGTCTTCTGTGTGGTTGTGGTCCTCAGCCGGACGGACCTACCCATTCGTGCTGCTTTGAATGTAATCCGAGAGTCTTACCATCCATGGGTGATGGTAATGACTTTCGAGTACATCAGACAAACCGGCTGCTTACTTGCTATCTTCCCACACAAAGATACAAGTTTCGCAGATACCGGTCTAAAAAAGTGCGGGCGAGCGACTTTAGTTTCATAGTTCCTTTGTTTTTAGGGTTCCGCACCCAAAGGGTAAAACGGGACCCTATAACTAAGACTCTGCTGTTTGTCTGTTTGTCTGTCTGTCGGTCACCAGGCTGTATCTCATGAACCGTTATTGTCACAGATGGTTACTGAACAATTGGTTTCAAGTGCATTGCATGCATTCGGTTTGATTTTTGTCTGTTGTTTCCTTTAAACGAGGCTGTATAAATTGTGTTCCAGTAGAAATATAATATTTGATTTGCGGAGAAAATTTAATAAATAAGCCTTTGATTACATACTTGTTAGGTATATAACCAAAGACCTTAACATTCCAGATTACTAAAATATTCGAGAGGTACTTAAACCGGTAAAAGTAACAGTCTATATAGTTCAGCATGCGCCACGATAAATAGGTACTAAGTAATAATTAAAGTTGGCGATTCGAGTCAGCTATTCCAGTTTCTTAACTAGGCTACTCAACACCATAAGAAAGGGAATTTCCTAAGATTCGTTTCTAAAGCCTCGGTCACTTGCGGTGGTAGGGCACGAATGGGGGAGGCCCGTCTGGGTAAGTACCACGATCTCACAGAAGACCAGCATAAAGTGGAAGTATGACAAATACTTTCGCGTTTCGTCTGGTGAGTGAGGTGGCCGGAGCCCAATTTTCAAAAGGTTGTCAATGCATCTGCAGCCCTCGGGTGTAGCAGATGTCCATGGGCGGCGGTATTCACTTAACATCAGGAGAACCGTCTGCTCGTTAAACAACTTTTCACATTTAAAAAAAAACATAGAGACTACTCGTCGCCAGTGTATTTAATAATACACGCAGCGGAAATTCGCTGCCTGCCTGTCATACACAGCGAGTTCTACGCTATTATTTCCACAGTCTGTTGGTGCCCCAAATACAAATTTGTCGTCACCGAATACATGCAGTGTCACTAAGCGCAGCGCACTCACGTCACATAACCAACGTCTGTTAGTAACGCAATGCACAATGCTTATGAATCCACCCGTTGCACTTGTTTGGAGAAGATATACAGAATCATAACATTAGCAGATTCTTTAATTTCAAAACTTCGACATCAGCAATGTTTGTAGTTTTCTTAATAATTTTTTCTTAATAGTTTGCCTTTATAATTTAGGTGCTAGGACAATGAAAACACACTGTTCACCCTCGGGAAGGGCCTCTGTCTTCTATTCTGACATAGGATCTATTACTAGAATCTAATACTCTATTCTGACTTAAAATCTCTATTCTGACATGTTGCATCCTAGCCTCTTTCAAGGATTTGAGTTTTTTCTTTCTTTAAAAGATCGGTAAACGTGATTAAGAATATTTTTAGCTCACCTTGAAACAACTGGGTTATAAAAATGTGTTCAACACCTAACTAATTGTACTAATCGCTAGAACCTTAAGGCCGTATTTAATTCCGATAAATAATTGAAATAACAGCTGTTTTGAATTTTTTTTATTGGCGGTAACATTGAGAGATAACAAAAATGTTGTTTGGACCTCGGCACGAGATTGGCATGCTAATAGCTTTGGGGTTCCGTACGTTGGTCGGTAAACATGGGACCTTTATGGATCACTTTGCTCGTCGGTATGTCCGCTATGACCATTTTTTTTCTAAAACGGAGGGATCTACAGTATAGATCTACTTATGCCAAATACAATTGTCCATGGTCTCTTCGCGGTCCTTAAAATATTTAAAGCTTCTAAGTGGATCGAATCTTATGGTCATTTATGTGAAACGTGAAAAAGAAATAAATATTTGAGTGAATAAAAAAACATGTTTAGGGATGTATTCGTGGTTCGTTTTAATTTTATAAATAAACCGTAAATTAGTGTTATTAAAATTATAAATAACAATATTGTATAATAATCGCGTAAATGGGAGAAATCCAGTTGCTTGTTTTTTAACTTTATCGT